TTCAAAGAACATGATCTTTACTTAATATCCTAATGATTTTTGGCATAAAAGAAAAATGTATAATTTTGACCCATACAATGTATTGTTGGCTATTGCTACAAATATACCCCAGCGACTTAAGACTGCTTTTGTGCTCCAGGGTCATATATTTACTTAATATATACATGTATGTTTGTGTATTTATATATTATATACATAATAAATATACACAGCACACACACATATAGTATGTAAACTTTAATTTTGAATCGATTAATCGTGATTAATCATTTTGCAGCCCTAATTCAATCTATTTATTTATTAACTATAGAGCATTATGTTTATCATCTTCATATTATTATAATGTGAATCAGTGTAGTTATGTAATCAGCTATTCCAATATTTTAACCTGGGTTACATATGTGTCTCTGCCTCCTTCAGAAGTCCTGTGTGACCCGTTGAGTGATTTTAACGTCTGGACATCCACTCGGCCCCTCAACAGCAGCGCCAAGGGCCACGCAGCTAACGAGAGCATCGTCATCGCAGCCACACGGGTGAGGAATACACTCACGATGTTTTAGGGCTGTCAAAAAAAATATTTTAATTTCGAATATTCGTCGAATTAAAAAAAAAATCCACATTTGAATGCAAAAACGTTGCATTCGAATTTTAGGTGTGCATCAGGCAGCTTTATCAGTGGCGCACGAGATGCGATGACGATGTACGTGTCGTTGCGTTATAATGCTTTTTTAAGCCTATCCAGTTGAAGCCACTAGATGTGGCGCTGCTACATTGTTCATTAAAAATATTGCGGAAAAAGAGAACATCAATGCGGAGAAGATGTTGTTGTTTAAGCAACTTAATTAATTATATATGGTCTAGAAACATTATTTTAAACATTATGCACTTTTTTCAAAGATGGTCGTGTTATTTTATTGCTTTGAATAAACGTGCATTAGTAATATTTTGTTCGATGTGCCCTATGGCTGTCAAAAAAAGATTAGAATTTCGAATATTTGGCGAATTTAATTTTTGCCTACATTGTCTTTTTTTAGCCTATCCAGTTGAAGCCACTAGATGCAGCGCTGCTACATTGTTAATTAAAAATATTGCGGAAAAAGAGAACATCAATGCGGAGAAGATGTTTTTTTCGTCAAAACTGAAACCAAGCCATTCACACAGAACGCATATTTGTTGCATTTTCTAGAGGGACATCTATCACCGTTGCACTCGCGTCTCGCACAAAAGAGACGCATGTTTAGAAAGCCATGTAAAATTAATGTAAGTTCGACTTTTAAAAAACATGTCTCGAGACTTTATGCCGGTTTTTCCCCATCCCACTGTATCTCGTGTTTTTAAATGAATAAAGTACTCTTTGTGATTGGTTTTCGGTCCTTTGTATTAAACTATACATTAGGGATATGCCGGTATCAAATTTTCATGGTGCGATTAATTGCTAATGCTTTTATCACGGTATACGGTATTATCACGGTATTGGAATTTTGTTTAAAAAAAAGTGCTGTCATAATACAGTAAAACAGGTTTAATAACCTTTTTCTTATAACAAAAATAACTGAACATTTAAATACAAGTACAAAAACAAATACAAGTTTTAAACATATTAAAGTGCAAAAGAACCCTTTACAATAAGACCTCATTAGTTAACCTTAGTTAATGCATTAACATTCACAATGAGCAATAGCTACATTTGCTACAGAAGTTATTAAACTTTGTTAAAAAATACAAGTCTTAGTTCATGTTAGCTCATTAAATAACACAGTTGCAACTTTCGATTTTAACAACCTGTTATTAAATATTGGAATACCTAAGATTAATGAATGTTCAGAAGAATTTTTCATTGGCAGTTTATGTTAACTAATGAATTAACTAATGTTAACTAATGAAGCCCTAATGTAAAGTGTGACCGAACAATAAAGAATCAAAACACTTTCAAACAATATCTAGGGCATGTTGTAGTCCAGATTAAAATGTAAAAAAAAAGTTTGAAAATAAATAGCCTATTAAGTCTAAATACTGTACTGTATTTGGCGCTGTGATGAACATCATAGCAAATAC